GCCCCCCTTCGCCTGACTATGAGCACCCCTCACCCCATGGTAGCTCCCCGGTCCTCAGCACCCCGGCGGCCTACAGTCGCTCGCCGAGCTCGGCGTGCTCGCCAGGTCGCTTCGAGTCCCCGTCGTACGTGAACCAAAGCCCGCTACCGACAACATCCGACGAAGGATATATTTACGACGGCTTCTCCGAGGATTTGCGCATACCGTACTGAGTACCTCCCGTGCCTGAGCACGATCCCGGCGCTTTGTTGGCGCACCTTTGTTCTTCTTCTCTTTTTTCTCAAGCCCAACCGCACACCACGCTCCTTTGACAGGACTCGCTATGCCGACATGTCTGCATCGACACAATGACTCACGACAGGTTCCCTACACGTTGCACGTTGCTGCTTAATCGCTATTATATAATGACCAAGCTTACGACACTCCTTACGACGACACGCATGCGATACCCTGAAACATTTACCATTAGACACACTCCTTGCGGAGGTACTGCATTATTATAGACCGACCCTAAACGCTCCTTACGACTACGACGATTTCTATGCAATGCGAATTGGAATCTTCAGCCGCTCATTCTGAAATTTTTGCTATTAAGCGGAGCGATGCCTATGATTCTTCGTCATAGCTTGCCCGACTTTTTGCATCTATACCCCTTGATGTTTTCACTGTTGGCGGGAGTGGGAAAACCAAAAGCCTTGGGTATTAAGCGCCGGTTGGGATTGCATCATATGGCGTTCCGGATTGGGTTTCTTTTTGATCGGTTTACCTGTTTTTTTTTAACTTTCTTTAAAGGAGCGCAGTCAGGGCTTATGCCAAAGTGGCATTATGGTACATTGTCGCAGTATGCACGGTACATTGCGATTAGAGTGGAAGAACTGGCGTCAAGAGGGAAAATTATGGGATGTGTTGTACATGTCTGCGCTTTTGTGTCATAAACCAAAGCCAGGGGAACATAATATTAATAATTGACAAACTCTATCTTTTCAACGCCGAGCACAAGCTATTTCCCACTATATATGTTCTTCATTTCGAAGCGGTCCCTTTTCGCCCCTGAGAACGTCCAAGCCTAAGTGGGTGTCTAGGGTGAGAATGTATGCGAAACCACGTGGGGCTTAGATAGTCCGGAGCAGTGGCTTCGGGGTTTCCTCCCCTCGTAGCTCCGGCTGGAGACGTTATGTGCGTTATAACGCTAACCCCGTCACCAAAAAAAGAGAAGGAAAGAAAACTCCGGAAGAGTCGTCAAGATGAGAGCTTGTTTCGGAGCCGATGACAAAAGCGGGGGAAAGAAAATAGGGGAAGAACAAACTCGAAAGGTATGAATGATTCTGGTATCTGCCTAACCTGGACAAGGTGGGTGGGTTTGGTCGGGATCTGGGTTTGAAAGAAAGAGATCCCCCCTTTCTTTTGGGCCGTGGTCCGTGGGGCATTACATACTTGTATGCCTATGCCCCTGAAACTTGAACCTTGAACCTTGAACCGCACGAGTAGGGGAAGATGGGCCGATGAGAGATGATGTAGGGACTCGGGAAGGATGTTGTAAGTATGGGGTATGTTCCGTTCCCCCGACTCCTGAGGCTGGGTTGTGGGGGTGTGTGTAGGTAAGTAAGAATATACAACGTCATTTGTCTGTGAGATCTTTTGATGTGACGTGAGACAGAAAGATAAGATAACCTTTTCTTCCCCTTTCCCTTCCCGCGGTTTTGCGCTTTTCGTGTTTAAAACATACAGAGACTAACCTAGGTTAGATACTTACTTACTTACTTACTTGCCCACGTTTGAGACTTTGCCCCTATCTAAATAATGTATGTATGTATGTGTGCATCTGTAACTCTCTACTTTTATGCAAATGCAGTAGGGTAGGTCGATAAAGTAAGTAAGTAAGTAGGCGGCTAGGTTAGGTAAATATGTCATGGCTTCCTAAATCGGAGGATGGAGGGAGGGATCACGACACATGCTTGCAAGAAGGCCCCCCCTCCCCTGTCCAGGTGAAGAAAGAAAGAGAGAGAAAGGAGGTTCGCAGCAGGCGGACAGGTAAAACAAACAAGCAAGCAAGCAAGCACGGACTTTGCTATTTCTAATATTAAACTTTTTAACGTATGCTGTGTTCTGTCTCTCGTGTTCGGTACTGTACTGCCTGCTTTCAAGGTTCAGGTTAACTTTGTGTTAAGTAAGACCTGGGTTGTGCAGAATAGGCGGTGTGAGAGGGGGAGAGTTTTTCTAAACTTGATTTCTTTTATTGGTGTGTGTTTCCTTCCTCACCCCCTTTTTTTCTCCCTCTCTCCATCTCTTTGTATATGTGTGTATCACGGCAGGCCAGATCAGATGACATGGTTGTAGGTTAGGTCCAAGTGTAATACACACGCACACATACATACACATACATACATCTGTACACCATAACAAGCCTTAACCTAGGTTAATACTTTCCCTACATATGCAGGACACTTTGACTTAAGGTTACTCACTTGCTTGGTTAGACATCACGTGTTTTTTTCCCGGCCTTGATAATTGTCGTCGCCCCCGCGCCCATGCCCATGCCGGGGTGGGGTCATATGACGCTTGATATGGATGGACTTATTAACGCCAGTTATATGGGAAGGTAACAATAAGCCAAGGATCTGTAGTTCCGGCGTGCGGCGGAGGTTGAGGGGAGGTGTAGTCTAGGTCATATGAGTAAGTAGATATCTAAAATGCCCAGGGACAGGGTTGCAGAATAAAAGTTTTTTAGAGGAGGGGGATATCATAATCCAAGGTCGGCCCAGGATCCGACGGCAACATGCATGTATATGAAGTTTTGGTGGTAGAAAGTTTTCCTTGATGAACACTGCTAACTTGACCTACAGACTGACTGACTGGGTTGCAGGCTCAGCACTGCCACAATATATGCAAGGAATTGGGCTTGGCCTCATTTCATCTCTTTCTCTGCCTGCTCTCCCCCATCGACATATATAAAACCTATCAATCTACCTAGGTTAATCATAAACGTACATACTCTTGGTTTAGTCCCATAGTATCTCGACTTGAGTATACTATGCATAAGTAGGTGTGTCTATACAGAAGGTGGTTGACAATTATCGACTCCTTTTCTTTTTTATCAACAAGGTACCTCTTACTTACCGTAGACTCACTGCACAGCCAGTACGTACACAAGGATACGCCTGGGAGCATCAAACATCCCTGGTGGCTCTTTTATTAAGTAGTTTACCAATGGGACATGAGCAAAATAGGGGGAAGAGAGAGAGAGAGAGAGAGCAGAAAAGATCCAGGGATTCCCAGCTCTCGGGTGCTTGCATCTTTTTGTGAATCCATTCTCACCCTCTATTTGTATGTATCATGCAATGCATGTCTACAGGAGTGGAAAGAGGAGGGGGGGGTTAAACCCTACTAGCGATGGACTGCACAGAATAGAACAAAGCCCAGGTAGGTCATGGTTCGTGGCACCGCAGATGGATGAGTTGAGGTTAAAGTGACACGACATGAAGTACTTGTGCGCATATCTACATACATACATACTTCCTCAACTGAGTACTCAGCTTATTCTTGAGTATGTGGTTTAGGGTCGGTGACTCCTATTTTTTCTAACCACTGGGTAGTTACTGGCCCGTTATTTATCATGTGACATTACTTGTAGGAAGAGATTGACTATGTATATAGGTACTTTGAGAAGGTGCGCGACCCTTCCGAGACGCAAGGTACAAGCCTTGGATCACACATGAGTCCTGCAATCCCCTGGTCTCCGGAAGCTAAAGAGAGAATATCTTCTTCCAAGTCGTGTTGGTGTTATGCAAGTCTTATTATAGGATGATCTTGTTCGGTGTCTCTCCTGTTTGCTAACCTAGGTTTAGTACTCCATATAATCTTGGAATAAAGTAGAAGGCAATTACCAAGGCTTACTTATTGTGTTGAAGATACTTATAAAATGTAATAGCTATAGACAAAGGTATGTGAGACTTACACAAGATGTAGACAACTTTTCTACCGGTAGCAAGTTTAGTCCAAGGGGCAGCTTCGTATCTTGTCAGGATTTTCTATGGCTCGGGCGAGGAAGTACACGCAAAGATGATATATCTGCAAGAGATATAATCAGACTATGGATAGCCAACTTGTTAGAAATGTCAAGCTTATGCCCTGGAAACCAAGTGATAGTTACTGACGGAAATAATACAAACCCTATACCATTATAACGAGATTATTATCTTATCCTCTCTACTCATTGTCTCTCATTTTCAACCTTCATCTGACAGGGTCAAAACCTGAAGCGCGTCCCGCTCTTTCTATATCGAGTTGGGGTTCTCTTGTGACCTACCTCACCAGTGTCCAGCATCCCATCCGACATCAAGGCACGGCCGAAATAAAAACTCAAACCTTTATCAGCGCGAAGCATGAACGGCTCACAAGCGCCTTGGAAGACACAGGCTTATAAGCAAACCATTTTGCGCGTATTTCATAGAAGTGAGTAAGTAAACATAAACACGCCGGATGGAACTTGCTCCTCTAGCTATGCTCGCTCACAACTTTTTTAGAATGAGATGGTATATATATAATATGCTCGACAGGCTAGCATAAGATAGAAGGTCCGAGTTTCTTCTCCTCTGCAACAGTCAGGGGGAAAAGGAAGTGAGGGAGCTACATATAGAAGGAGTCCATGCATTGTCGTAACGGCGTAAGCATAACGACCAAGTAGCAGTAGCCTCACCAACTTCCGTACTTCATATCGCTTGAGAAATGCGGTTCGAGGATGTTTGGTACCGAGTCCATCTCAGAATGCCATGTGAGAGCTTGCCTAACTATATATGCTTGTCTCTTACTGTCTCACTGTATATACAGTTTGTCCTCGCATATGTCCTTACAAAATGCCTAGTTGCTTAGCCCCTCCACGTCAACAAACAACGCAGGCTAGATAAGCAGGAAGAAGAAAGCAGAAAGAAAGACGAAAAACTCTAGGAAGTGAGAAGAAAAAAAGGATTGCAAGAAATAAGAAAAGAGAAGTCGAAAAAGAAGGGTCTGGCCGGGGATTGAACCCGGGACCTCTCGCATATTGTTTCTTAAGGTTATCCCTAAGCGAGAATCATACCACTAGACCACCAGACCAGATTGCGCATCCCAACTGGGATTAGCTTGTGATTGGTGCAACCATAATTTTATATATATAGCAAAAAGACAATGTGCCGAGAGTGTGGTCGCATACCAAGTCCATGACATTCCAGCTCGGATACACCAATTCTCAGAAGACAAAGCGAGAATACTGCAATGCAAATAACTACAAAGTTCAGGAGTCGATTGTTTCAGATGCTTGTCTTCATTCTCTACAGCAGCAAGATTACAGCATCTCTTTCTGGTTTGATCAGTCAAGTTCGCAACGCAGAACAAGGTAGTTTTTTTCGGTTTTCTTTTTTAAACTGCCGGGGTGATTATAGAGTGAATAGTATCGTGTCGTCAAGTTCCTGTGCTGTACCCGACGGATACCTAGCCTACTTACACATGGATAGATGAGTGTGATCCGCATTTCCGCAATCACAATACTTGGGATCCGAGGGCATTGGTGTGAATCAGTGCGATCTATACCATCAGCATCCACAGAAAACCTCTAGCTTGTCCTTCAGTTATAATAAAGTATATGTCCAAAACAAAGTTCGTATTATGCACAGAGCTCGGATGTGATATGATACAGTATTCGTTCCTCCCCCTTTCCCCTCCCCTCATGGAGATATCGCCACTTCCTCCTCCCTCCTCCCCTCTCGGGCCATAACCATGCTTTCGCACATGTTGTACAGATGATGATACATCAGCTTTGAAAATACTACAAAGACACCATCTAGCGGCGCTTGTTGTGGAGGCCGCGGATTCTCTGGGTGTACTTCCACAGACTCTTGTACTTGGGCTTGGACCGCTTGGCTTCCCAGCCCCTGGCCTTCTTGGGGCCCTTGAGCGAGTAGACGCGCTTGTGCTTGAACTGAATGTCGGCACCCGGCACACCGGCCCGCTCCATGACCCCTGCGGTACCCTCATCCCAGACGCTTCGGAAGATATTGACACCAACAGGCTCTAGGGCGAACTTGTCTTTGAAGCTCTTTAGACTGAACCCGTCGCGGCCGCTGTACAGCTCGCGCAGCTTCTCGACGTCTATCACCTGGCCGTCCTTGTGTTCCAGGACGAAGAGGACCAGGCGGTGGTAGGGCGCACCCATCTGGGAGAACGCGGGAAGCCACGGCACGGCCAACTGCGTGTTCTTGTCGACCTTGCTGAGTGGCAAGGATGGCTGATCGGGTGAGATAGGAATGTTGGCGGCGAGATAGTGGCAGCGGCGGTCGAACGAATCCGTCTCAGCGTTGGGCACATCCAGATCCACTACGGCAACCGATACGAGTCGTTGGCCCGGGTTGAAAACCTGCACCTTTAGACGTGGTGGCACCTCAGACACCCTCGAGTCGATAATCTCGCCAGGCTCCACCTTGATCCGTCGGAAGAACATCTGCACATCAACCACAGGCTCAAACTTGGGCAACACATCGGGCACAATGGAGAGTTGCTCTATACGCTGGGCAAGGATCCGGTATGGCAGGCCGCGCCACTTCTTCTCCGCGAGGTACCGGTAGATGGGCTTGTTCATGTCACCTGTAACAACAGTCATCAGCCATTGCTGGGTTCCAGGCACCCCGGGAACGGTACCGCCCCATGTTGTATTTCGGAGCACACTCACCGAATCCATCTTCGAATCGCCGTTTCACCAGAGGATCGTTGATATCAACGAGGATCTTCAGTTCTTCGACATATTTCCTCAAGCTCTTAAGACGCAAGTCCTTCTTGCGCTGGCCGCCGGGAACCTGCTCGGCAGGTGTCTCCTCGAGACGCTTGATCTTAGCCACTTCCTTGGCAAGGTGTTGGAGCTTCTCCTCACGGTCTGCCTGCAGGATCTTGCGGGCCTCTTGGAAGCACTGGTAGGGCAGCTCTTCGAATGGTACGTTCTCCGAGGTACGCAGGGCGGCACGGCGACGTCGCGAACCCACAGGCGGAGTGCCTGTCCGCATAAGCTTCCTCTCGGCCCAATGTGCAGTTGTCGTGTTCGGGTCCAACAAGCGATCCTGCATACGGATCTTCCCCGTCTCCACTTCGGCGGCATTGACAGCTGCTTCGGCTTTGTTTATACGATCCGCCATCGACTCTGGGTTGGTGCTCGCGTTCGAGTCCGTTGTCGAGGTAGGGGGGACGCCATCTTGCCGGGCAACGGTGCTGGAGAAGGAACGAGCGAAAGACGCCGACGTCGTCTGTAATATCAAGCTATGGCCATGCTGGTGTATTGACTGTATCAGGGGTCTTAGAACCCTCTGACAGCTCGACATGATGCCGACTCGGGTCGCGATGAGATGGCCTCGGCCTGGTGGTTATACAGTTGTTGTATAATCAAGACCGGAGGTCGAGCAGCATGTGGTAATAAATCGGCTTCAATTGCAGATGGACTTTTTCCCAACCCAAGAAAAACGCGCCAGGGCAGGGACCAGTCGAGTTCACACGGCCCCATTATTCTGCAGAGGTACAGCAGTAGGTACGTACTTGCATTATGTACAATACACCAACTTGCTGTAAGTTCAAGTTGTAAGTTGTAACCCATCTAGGTTACTAGTACCTTAGTGTCTCGGGTTGTGGGACAACCCAGTCATTCTGACACCTCTCATTCGCTATTTCACCTGCATTATTCCGCATTGGGGCTCTGAGAGACGTCCTCGACAACAACTCAATAATTTTTCCGGCGTTCGTCGACTTTCAATGTACAGAATACGACTGCACCTGATTATCTTAACCTCAATTGCGTGATCGTGAGAGTGCAGCAGGGACTAGAACGGGCCACCACTTCTCATCTCGACCCGACTGCTTCCTCCGAACCTATCAATTCGAAGAAGGGGCCGGGGCCATGGCGACCAAAGGCATGAGAGGTCTCAATGAGGCCTTGAAGGGCCTGAGTCTAGCTTCACATACATGCAGAGAAGCGCCTTCTGTATGTAGGCTTCGCCAACATGGGGACTTGGTCACCATCGCCTACACCGTTGCTAAATAATGCTTTTCTAGATACGGATACCTTCCAAGATATCGACGCGCTCGATGGCCACAGAAACCACCCTTCCCTCTACACCATCACCCAATCTCTGGAGACCAGGTTCGTCGACCTCGCCGTCTCCACGGCTGGCTTGAATCTTCGCTAAAACTCGACTAACACTACCGTCCTCACGTATACAGCCACCACGGTCCCTGTAACGATCTTTGATTTCCCTTCGTACGAGCCACGACGCCTGGAATCGTGGTCTGCCAAACACCTGAACCTGCCGCTGCGCCGCGATCTACTCCATCTGGCCGTCGTCTACGAGGGCGACAACACGAGACAGGGCACGGCGAGCTCCAAGACGCGATGGGAAGTGCACGGCTCGCACAAGAAGCTGCGTCCGCAGAAGGGCCTGGGCCGCGCCCGAGTCGGCGACAAGCAGTCCCCGATACGAGTGGGCGGTGGCAAGGCGCACGGGCCCAAGCCGCGCGACTTCGGCACGCACATGACGCGCAAGGCCTACGACATGGCCTGGCGGACGGCGCTCTCGTACCGCTACCGCCGGGGCGAGCTCGTCGTGTGCCAGGACGGCATGGAGCTGCCCCTGCCCGCCGAATTCGACGCCCTCCTCCGGAACACGGAGCTGCGCCAGCACGCCGAGCTCGAGGCCGAGTTCCGCGCCAAGTGGGCGAAGCAGGTCCTCGATGCCAACGACTGGGGCCGCCGCGCCGGCCGGAGCACCTTCATCACCACCTCGCGCCGCGACGACCTGTTCGACTGTCTCGACCTCGTGCCCAACTGGGGTCGCGCGCTCGATGTCGAGGACGTCGATGTCAAGGACCTGCTGGAGACGGGCCGTCTCGTCGTCGAGCGTGAGGCTCTCATGCACATGTTAGAGAGCCACCAGAGCGATCTTGTCCCCAAGGTTCACTTCGTCGACGCCGCCTTCCCGAGAAAGCCAGTGAGCGGTGATGTCCTCGTTGAATAAAGCCACATACCGATATCGCGTCTGCTCTTCCATAGCGAGCTTACGTAGGATTGGGTGCATTGGGTGTCGCAAACGACGAGGGGGGGAAATTAAGCTTTGCGAAATACCGAGGCTTGGAAAGCGGTGTACGTGTATATGTAAATAAGAGGAGAAGGTGTACAACAGGGAACGTAGCATGTCGAACATGACATGTACCAATTTGTCTTGTGAATAGCAATGCAGCACTACGGTTAATCATCTTTAAGTCGATAACGCGGGTGTGAGAAACACGCGATGGGGAAGTGTACGAGCCGTATATGAATGAGTCTTGGGACGGAAATGCCGTATTAATCGTACCCATTACGCCATAGTTTCTTCACTGCCAAATCGAATACGATATCTATGGACAAAGCACGGCCCTCCTTCCCACCTGGCTTTTCCGTCCTCAGTCCACGCTTCCCTGTCTATAGTGGTATCATAAACTATCATTCTGTAACCAAATCATAAGGTGGCATAGAAGCCGATGCTGCTTTCCCATTGTAACTCGTGCTCGTTGAATGGATACGAGCTGAAAGACGGGCCGAAATGGTCAGTGGTACTGTGGTACTACCTTCAAGAGGACAGGCGGAAAGAGGCAGAAGCAGGGTGCCCTTGAGAGGTAGGGATGTATGAGTACTGGTAAGGGCTATAGAACTCGCAAAGTCCCTAACCAGAAGGCCAACAAATTAGAGAGAGATATCAGATTCGCCAGTCTGTGCCTGTGTGTGTGTGCAAAAGATCGAGGTTACAAGGAAAAGCAACTTAAGGTTTTACTGTACTGCTGTATAGGCGAGGTATGCCTCTCCACATAGCCGAGACGGTAGCGATGGCGGCTATTCGCCGTAAAGTCCCATGGGCATGCCGTTATAGTCAGGCTCGTCGCCAGCAGCACCGGCTGAAGTTCCAGGCGTGTTGCAAAACGGCGTCGTGCTTTGCGACGGGCCGACATAGCTACCCACGCCAGTTGCGGCCGGCGTGAGGAAACCCGGTGACGGCATCGGCATATGCATTTGGGCCGCAGTTTGAGTCATAAATTGGGGCAGCTGTGTC